TCCCACAAATCTCCATCAACTGCAAGATGCTATCCTATCAATATGGGCCAACATTTCTAAAGAATGCTTTCAGCACCTTGTTGAATCAATGCCACCTAGAATTAAGGCAGTTCTGAATGCGAAAGGGGGTCAAACACCGTATTAGTATGGTGTTCCTAATAATCCTTTAGGTGAGTGTACATTCACTGGCCACCTTGCTAGTTCTGGGTTAGATCCCCCTTTTGCCTTCAGAACTGTCTTAATTCTTTGTGGTATAGATTCAGAAAGGTGCTTGAAATATTCTGCAGAGACTTCAGTTCATGATGACATGATAGCATCACACACTTGCTGCAGATTTGTCAGTTGCACCTTCATGATGTGAATTGCCCATTCCACCACATATCCCATAGGTGCTCTATTGGATTGAGATCTGTTGACTATGTTGACCATTTCAGTACAGTCAACTCTTTGTTATTTTCAAGAAACCAGCATGAGATCTTATGAGTTTTGCAACATGGTGTATTATTTTGCTGGAAGTAGCCATTAGAAGCTGGGCACACTATGGTCATAAAGGGATGGTCGGCAACAATACTCAGGTAGGTTGTGGCATTTAAACGATGTTGAATTGGTACTACGGGGCCCAGAGTGTGGCAAGAAAATATCCCCCACACCATTACACCATCACCAGCAGCCTGAATTGTTGATACAAGGCAGGATGGATCCATGCTTTCATGTTGCTTATGCCAAATTCTGACCCTACCATCTAAATGTCGCAGCAGAAATCAAGACTCATCTGACCAGGCAATGTCATCCGATCTTCCATTTTCTTGTTTTGGAGAGCCTGTGCCCTCTGTATCCAGTTTCCTGTTCTTAGCTGACAGGAGTGGCACGTGGTGTGGTCTTCTGCTGCAGCAGTAGCCCATCTGCTTCAAGGTTCAACATTTTGTGCATTCAGAGATGCTCTTCTGCATAGCATGGTTGTAATGACTGGTTATTTGAGTTACTGTTGCCTTTCTAACAGCTTGAACCAGTATGGCCATTCTATTCTGATCTCTGCCATCAACAAGGCATTTTCAGATAGAGCACTGCTATGCACTTTTCTGTCCCATTCTCTATAAACCCTACAGATGGTTGTGCATGAAAATTCAAATAGATTAGCAGTTTCTGAAATTCCCATTCCAGCCTGTCTGGCACCAGCAACCATGCCACGTTCAAAGTCACTAAAATTACCTTTCTTCCCCATTCTGGTGTTTGATGTGAACATTAACTGAAGCTCCTAACTTCTATCTGTATGATTTCATACATTGTGCTGCTGACATATGATCAGCTGATTAGATATTTGTTTCAATTCATTGTTCAGTTGCATTCAACATGTGTACCTAGTAAAGTGGCCAATGGGAAAATAAACCACATCTCTGAAATAACTAAAGTTTAATGGCATCCCTTATTGTTTATTCCATATTTAACACAAATCAGACGTTGCTTTTGATGATCAATTTAGTTGAATATTTTATATACTGTAATTTAACAAATGAAAATGGCACAGACAAAAAAGATGGCACTCAATTTTTATATTTTGTGGAACCACCTTTTGCAGCAATCACTGCCAACAAGTGATCTCTGTACTTCACAATGAAACATCTGTATTTGCCAATGGGTAGTTTGGCCCAGTACTCCTGAACAAACTGTTCAAGCTATCACAGGTTGGAAGGGTGGCATTTCCACATTGCAATTTTCAGATCTTTCCATAGATGTTCAATAGGATTAAGATCTGGGCTCATGGAGGGTCATTTAAGAATAGTCCAATGTTTTTTTCCTCAGCCATTCTTGAGTGCTTTTAACTGTATGTTTTGGGTCATTAAACGATTGGATAATGGGTCTTCTTCCATGGAGCCTATTATTGTTCAACATGCGACAGATGGTGGAATCAGAATGTGACATACTTTGACCTTGGAGTTCAGCTTGAATAGTTTTGGTTGGTTTGCTTGGATCTTTTTCTACCCTCCGCACAATCCTTCCGATCAACCTTATGCTTTTTAATAACACTGGCAACTGTGGTCACAGGAACATGAAGCTGTTTGGAGATGGTTTTATGGCTTTTACCTTTAACATGGCTATCTATAGTCTTTCTGCTCTCTTCAGATAGCCCTCTCTCCTTTTCTTTTGCTAGTCCATGTTCAGTGTGGTGCACACAATGATACCAAACAACTCAGTAGCATGTTCTTCCCCTTTAAATAGGCTGAATAGCTGATGAAAAGCTTGAAGGCACCTGTGATACTAAACATTTAGTTTGAAACATGACTAGCATGCAAGGGGTGCTGACAAATCTGTCAATAATATTTTAGCATATATTTGTAAAGTAAACAACAAATCATTTCTTTTCACAATTTTATTGGTTTACTCTGTCACATACTAAAGACATGCAGGTATACATTAGGCAATTGCTTTTAATTCAATCACTTTTCAAGAGAAATTAAGTATTATTTAATGAGCTATAATACCACCAAATTTATCATCTGTTTCTATATAGTTTTATATAAATATACTCCACTTCAGCTAACATTTAAATTAATATGGTTCTTTTTAACTAAAAGAACTAAAGTGATTTTCCAATTATACAAAATATTTTTATGGCTTTCTGATGTGGTGGTGTCTATTTGTTGCAGTATAATACAAATAAATTTTAAATCATCCTACATCATCTCTTCCAAAACTTAGGATAACTATGTACTGAACTAAATAAACAATTATAAATGTTCCCCTCGTTTTTAATTAATCTTGCAACTGGTTAAGCAACATTGACTAAATTCATATGCACGCTCTTGGCATTTCTTCAAAATATCTGATTATTACATAAAAAGTGACAAAAACATTCCCACAAGCAATACTTCGGTTTCTTTCTTCGTCCATCTGCCTTTATTAAAATATTACAGTATATTATGCTTATACATTGCCATATCCATAACATTTACAGGCGTAAAAATGTATCATAAAGGGCCATGTTACAGCCAAATGATGATTCACCTTTACATTTAAAAAATGTGGATCCATTATACAGCTCTAATACAGTCAGATGCAACCAATTTATTGTACACTTAAATCAGCATTATGACAGATATCTAATTCCTCAATATACTTTCTCACAACATGTGCTTTGTAAGGACATTATGAAAGCTATGCATGCCACAGCCTTTGTTAATGCTTTGGTTTTAAAGGGTCATTCTAAAATGCTGAGGTTGCAGTTCACATACAAATTTAACAATGGGAGCATATGCAAATGTTAATATCAGCTCAGTGAGAAAGGCAATTTGAAATAAATCATTTTACCTTACTGGAAAAGAGAGAATTCAGTACTGGCAAAAATGTTAGTCAACATAAGAGAAAAAATGTGACCAACATCAAATTGTAGTCCCATCAAAACATATAAACTAAAACAGGAAACTGTTGAACTTGTTTAATAGTGCACCATATTTGAAATTGCTATTGAAAAATCCATTTTGCTTTGCAAAATTATTTAAACAAAGGTAATAGACTTTGAAAATAGAATGTTAAAACTTCATAGATGATTTGTAGTATTCAGATGAGCTAATTTTACAAATGCATGTACAGATTCTAATTTCTAAGAATAAATACCATAGGGATTCTATTACTTCTGCAAGGGACTGTATTTCACCAACTCCTTGGTCCAGCATGTTATTGAATGTAGAATGTGAATAATAGAAAACCATGTACACCTGCAGAATTTTAAACACTGAATTTGAATTTCAGAGATGTCAAGTTACAGGGCATCACCATTGCAACTGCATCAGATTTTCATTCTTATTTGAATTACTTAGTATGCAAAAATGTTCACTTAACATTTGTGCATCATTAGTCTTGGGTATTCTTAAAGTATTCAGTTTCAGTACACTTAAAAGTAACAAAAAAGTACATTTAGTACAACACTTGCCAGTTTTGAAATATCTATTACTTCCTAGTGAGCAGGTACTGGTATTCTCTAGTTACATGCTTTACCTTTACACCAACAGGACTTTTAATAGGTTAGTAAAAGACCATCTAACTAAGGAGTTAATATGCAGTAGAAAAAAGCCTTAGTCAATAACAGCTAAGCCAACAAGCTAGTCATTCAAGATGGACATTGTGTAACCATTTTACACTACAGTTCCTTCATTGCATGATCCTGGTGAGCATCTGTCTTCCTTAAAGATACAGAAATAAAACATGAAAATCACTTAATTTTGAATATTATGGGATAATTAATGACAGGTCCAGTAAAGATCTGCAATGCGAAAGTTAAAAATACTCTGAAACGGATTTAAACAGATCCAGATTTTTACTAGTGTAAATAAAAATGCATTACGTTTGACTTGTATGAAATCTTTTTTAAATGGAGAACTTTCTGTAAATGTATATTTAAAAAAAAAAATCAAGACTACTTAATGCAGTCTTTCACAGACAATAGCAGAAAAGGATGAACTGGTTAATCAATAAACTGTAAAAACATAAAATGGAATTTAGTCAAAACTTAAAACATATTCATTGAACTGTCTACAAAATACTACTTATGTTTTTCTGTGCCTGTTTTCCCCGTGGGGTCTTCTGATCAGACTTCACAATTCTGCTTCCCTTTGTCACTTTTGCTTTTTTGGGCACGGCCACCTTCCGTCCAGCATCCCCCTTCTTGCCAACACTTTCCTCCACTACGGAGACTCCCTGTGTTGTCTTCTTCACCGTCTGGCAGGGTGCGCTTGAACGTTCATTGGCAAGCATTGGGCTCCCTTCATCATCATCTTCCTTTTGGTCTGAAACAGTTGTGTCAGTACTGGTTATTATATGTTGAGATCTGGTTGGACTTCTGTGCTGGCTGACAGCAGAAAAGCTCCCCCCTGCCTCAAAAGTTTTCGTCACCTCTGTCTTTCTATCCCTCCTTTCTCTTTTGTTGAGCGAAGGAGCTGGAGGAGGTTCTTGTGTAGACTCTTTGCCACTAGAACGACGAGAGCGCTTAGTACCAGGTGGGCTTCCCATGTCTTGCTCTGCTTTCCTCTCAGGTTTAGTGGAGGACAGAACTTCTTCCTTGCTAGTTTTGGCCTTGCTAGAGTTTGATGGTCGACCTCTCTTACGAGAAAGATTACTGACAGGTAAGGCAGGTGGCTCGTCGGCACTACATAATTGTCTGGTCTTGCAGAAATGTGCACCTTTATTTGATTTTGTCTTGCGAGGCCGACCTCTGCCTTTCGGCTCTGCAGGAGAGGATGGCACTGGGGGCTCCACGCGAGGGTAAATGCGCGGTCGTCCTAACGGCTTCCATACCCTGGGCCCCTTTGGTTTGTTTTTCATTTTTCTCCTCTTCTCCTCCCCTTCTGGTGAGAGTGGTGTTTTTCTTGGCCTCCCCCTTCTTCTAATAGAATTACTGGAGACACCTTGTTTACTCTCTGACCCAGGACCTGGGAGCAATCCTAAATCTTTGTTCACCTTGGAAGGTCTACCTCTTTTCCGAACTATTCCTGATGTTTTAATAGGAACTGGGTCTTTGTTAATTTTTGGAGGCCGACCTTGCTTCCGTGGAGTTCTGGGGGTTGACTCTTTACCCACCTTAAGGGTTTGATCTTGATTTTGGTCAAGAGATTTTACTGAAGGAGGAGGGCCTGCCTCTTTCCGTGGCCTCCCACGCTTTCCTGCATTAACTTGTTTAGGCTTCATGTGAACAGGTCCTGATGGTCTGCCCCGGCCCCGCTTGGGGGTCTGGGGAATTTCATGGGGCAGAGTCACCTGTACTTCTTCCACAACATGTTTAATTGGTTGCTCCATTGCGGAACGTCTCTGAACCTACTGCTTGCTGGATTTCTTTCTGGCAGTCTATGAATACAAGTATTTTTGGTTAAAATGCATAAATACACATGTATATTTTCTAGTCAACATATGATAAATTTTGGTATAATTTTGAAAAACGTTTTCCCATCTGTTTTTAATCTTGGACTTATTTTATTTCACACATTATATTATTCCAACATTTCTTGCAATGACATGCACCTTTGCAGGTTTTGTACATTCATTAACCACAAATGCACGTTGCATATATCAACCAGACTGTATGAGAACAGTCTTTTTTTTAATCTGTGTATGTATGAACTGTATATATGCAAGTCACTGACAACTGGAGACAAATTCCCTGTGTGTGAATATATATTTTAAACACATTTAGTATCTATGTTTTAAAAACACGATCACACTCTAATAATTTCTAACCACCAACCAGTCACTGTAATGCTTCACCTTTTCAAACAGAACATAAATAGATGATCAACTTTGTTATCTCCGTGGCGGGCTAACTGTCCAAATCGCTGTTAAAAAATACGCCACAAGTATTTATTTCTATCCAAAGAACTAACACAGACATAAAAACAAACTAAATTTAACACCATAGGTAAACATAAAATACGACAGGGGGCGGAGAACCTTCCTCGAAAGACTTTCACCAGGCGTTTTTACATGTACGTCTAATGGTGATCAACGTAAAAAAAAAAAAAAAAAAAAAAAAAAAAAAAAAAAAAAAAAAAAAAAAAACAAAGATATCCACGTACAACATACGCTTACTGTACCTGCTCGCACATCGCCTACCTTAAAAGGATGTAGGAACAGTCATAAACGGTTTTCAGGTTATTTGTTAGGTGTTCAAGAAACAGTTCCTCTTACCGATCTTGTAGTCTTTGTTTATATTTGAATTTGCAACCGCTTCCAGGGCTGACGGGAAGCTAGCTACAAAATTTAAAGTGGACGTTAATGAATCGATCATGCGCAGTGTCTCCAGAGCTGTGCGTAAACAAATAGGCTCTTTGCACATAACGCGGTGACGTCATATCCGCATGCGCGAAATACGATTGACTTGCTTCCTGTTTGAGGAACTATCAGCGCAAGGAATGAATAACTTGTGTTTCACAAGTTATAAAAACAATACCACCAACACTGTTGATCGCTAAGTGCACAATATCTTCAAGATATAATCGAGTTTTAAGTGTCAACACACTCATATGGGCAATTCAGCAAATCCAATTGACCGCAGCATGGTTTTGGATTGGCCAGGAAACCGGAGTGCAGGTGTTCCGGGCAATTCAGTTTCCCTATGTTTCCCCTGTCGCGCGCTGATTTGTACACGGTTTCGCTGTTGTTTTCATGTCTTTTTAAGAAGCTCTTGAGGTAAACAAGCCATATATTTTAAAACATCACATGCCTTTTCGCTGTTATTTTCATGTCTTTTTAAGAAGCCATACATTTTAAAACATCACATGCCTTTTCGATGTTTTTCGTTTTTATAAAATAAAAGTATTTAATTCGCTGGATAGAGATATTTCTTGATGAAAACGGTATAGTATTGCTTATATAAGACTATATTATGCGTGACGATCTACTGTATTCACATGTAATAATGTACCCGAGTGATTTTCAGACATCTCACATACATATTTGCCTAAATATTAGGAGAAACATTATTCCCTGATAGACAGGGGAAATTGCCCGGAACACCGGCACAAACCTCACTACGACACAGGAACAAACGAACTACATACACATGGAACCTTGACTTGAACAGAGGTCCTACAGGTGTGAGGCAATAGCTGTAACCACTGCACCACCACGTCCATATGCAGTTTCATTAAAACAAACACATAACTAACTAAAACCAGCAAAAAATAATTAAAACAGGAAGATTTTTTTCTTAACATACTTATGCTAACATTTCACATAATTTATTGTTACATTTTACAATAGTTATCAATGCACGTTTCATATTATTTACTGCAACATTTCACGATGTATTTCTGCGCAAATGTAATAAAGTTTGAACAATCGCTCAGTAGAAATGGGTTCATCACATGAAAACAGTAATCACGGTCCCATTTGAACATACAATGAACGTGGCCATAGTTTTCAAATGTAACACAAATCTGAACAGTTACATTGAACAGTTGAACTCGAACTCTGACAAATCACCAGTGCTGCCCTACTTTTATATTATGAGGTTTGTCGTGCTTCTTCTTTAATCTGAAGCAAAAATCCCATACAGCAACCTCTCCTGTTGCCACGATTCTGTTTGACACTAAGAATAGCAAACATAGATTAACACAATATGCTAAGCACATATTGAACATATTAAGTTAGACATTCTCCACTAGAATGACTGCGGATATTCATAGATACTTCATTAGCACATGCATACACTATTACTTTCCGGGATTAAAGTTTATTAGCGTAAGCTATAGCTAACTCCAGCTACAAAGTTGAAAGAATAAAGACTCCCCTTCGTATCCGTGGATGTAAGATCTTAAAGCCCTTCCCTAATATACTCGTTGGTGTTTTGGAGAAGGATTTACAAAGGCGATGTACGAACGCGGAAACTGACGACCAAGAGCCCATTTGGAGTACAGCAGGCGTTCGTCCACGGAGCCGCGCGATGACGTCAAACGCGTCATAAACGCTAGTACGCGTGCGAAGAAGTCTGAACCACCCTTTATTCACTGTGTGGCATGGCTTAAAGGCTGGTTCACACTTCTCGCTAGCGTCAACTTTAAATATCAACATGGAAGCTTTTGACGAGCGTTGGGGTAGTTTGCAAACCCTACAGAATATTTACAAGGTGACAAAACTCATGCGTAAATGTGTGTGTGTGCGCAGACTTGTCTCGAACTGAAAATCTCACGCCATCCAGCTGACCAAAGTTAGCAACCCTATTCTTAATAAAAACATAAATACAACACGTTGTGCGCATGTGCAAAGTACGTGGATTGACCGGAGGAATATGAACGTTTCCGTGTCCGAATATGCAGAGTGGATGCGCGAGTCTTGCACTTGTGCGGAGTAGTATGAACCAGCCTTTATAATGACGAAATGTACGCTACATCCTGTACACGGACCGAAAGCGCACGTGGAAAGGTCAATAGTCCTCCCACCAGTAGGGGGTGTGTTGTGCTTCCGTGGGAAAAGGATGCACGAGCAATTCCCTAAGTTCATGCAGAACTGCAGTTTATACCCGGTTATATTCTTAGAAGGGTTCTTTGGATCCACTACCAATTCAGTCGAAAAAGAAACACCAGCAGCTCTTCTTAAACGTAGTTAACGTACGTTGCTTTTCTTCTTCTTGTTGTCCCTCCTGTGGATTCATCGTTCAAATACCATTGTAGTAGATTTAAAGCGGAACGCATCAGACTTGCATAAAGACTACTAATAAGAAAAGGTTGGTCATTTAAAAATCGTGGTTGAATATAAAAAGTTATTGTTTATTATTAAGGTCGTTGATGTTGCAATTTAAATGAATTTGAACGAAGTACCTCGATATATTACAGAAAGATATGATCGCTAGCCAGCTAGCATAACGAAGGCTGTGCAATATCGCTTGTTGACGAAAGGCAGAGATTTATACAGATAAACCATTAAATGTTTCGTTTTCTCATTAAGTAATTTTAGCATGTTAATGAGACCCAATACCTTCCATAGAGGCATGCGGGATTCTCTGAAAATACACTATACCTTTTTCGTTTTGTAGTTACATGTATTTGCATTCATTCATATATGCAATATAATTGTCTTGACCTGCGCATTTCAACAGAATTTAATATGGTTAGTTTATATTTTATCACGTCTGGCATTTAATGTACGTAATATTGTCATGTTATAAAGGTAGGGCGTGACTATATTGGGGTTTTGAAGGCGGCGTATTAGCACCCTGTGCTGTGGTGTCACTCACGTGATTCCCGATTCTGCTTCTAGCTTGTATCATGCTATACATTAATGCAATAATATTAAGAAAATGATCATAAAGCAGTGCATTGCCTAAATCGGTAATATTTTGGTTCCACAATGAGTAAGATTTCCAGTACAATAACATGTAGCTAGGTGAAAAAAATGTGCATGAATTGTTCAGAGCCTGTTTTTCTCCAAGTGTCCTGTGATGGACTGGCACTCTGTCCAGGATGTTTTATATTCTTTTTGCCCTGTGCATCCTAGGATAGGCTATATACTCACTTTGATCCTTTGCAAGATAAGTGGTTATTGAAGATGGACGTGATAAAATATAAACTGACCATATTAAATTCTGTTGAATAACAAAGTATTAGATGGTTTATATAACAAGCTTGACATATTGCTCTGTTAAGTTAAATGTGTTGGTGAACAATATATAAAAAAATTGTGTTGAGATCTATGTAACTAGTTTTTAATACTTCCTGGTTAAAGCTAACATGTTAATGTTTTTCTCTGTTGATCTTTAATTGTGGAGTTTATAGGGAGAGATTGAATCCCACCGCACATCAGGTTCCCCAGAGTCTGTATTTCTGATCTCTTCAGATGCTGGGAATTCATGAAACTGGAGATAATGGCTCTCTGCCGTCAAGGACATATCGCTGTATGGCATGTTCAGCCACCTTTCCGGGACTGTCCTCTTTACTCGTGCACCAGGCATCTCATGCAAATAACACCAACTCACCTGATGGGAATCAAGCACCACCTGCTCTCCAAGTTTCCTGCAACAATTGTAGAAGCATGTTTTCCAACAAGGATCTTTTGGACAAGCATCATTGCAGTGCCCCGCCTATCTCTGCCTCTTCCTCCATTTACATCTGTGGGTGTGGGAATAAGTTCCAAGATTTCAATGTCATGCTTGAACATAAACAGTTACACAAAACACAGATGGATGTACAGGAGCCCCTGGCAATAAAGGAGGAGAAAGCAGTAGGAGAGAGTGTAAACAGCCCCAGCCATTCAGACCCTATGCATGCATCTTGTAGTGAGAGCTTTAATCTTACTTCTCATTCCATTCTATCCTCACATGTCCATCCACCTAGCCCCCAAATCTCACAGTCAGCCACTGAAGACTCTGAAGTAAGCAATAAGGAGATTTTTAGTCATGCTCCCTCACCTGTTGCAGAGTTAAACAACATGCCTTCTGTAAAGCAAGTTGCACGCATTCCTGTTTCCAACTCACCTGAATTACTTTTGGCACCAACCATTACAGCTCTAAAAGATGACTTAACACACAGAAGTGTTGCAGATGTGACTTCTGTCTCAGACTCAGTCAGTCCCATTCATAGTGATGCGGTGCTGCAAAATGATCAACAGGATGTAAAACCACTAAAGAAAATGCTGGTGTCTGCTTTCATGGAAAGATTGCCACCAGCCCAGGCAGCCTTGAGTGCTAACAAAGAAGAAATACCAAAACCAGTGGGAACACCATCAGTGACAGCCTCTGAATCTATAGAGGGATCATCAATTAGTCAGTTACGAAGATTACTATGTAAATCTGGGACTAAAAAGAAGCAGCAATTGGCTGGTAATACTGTTAGTTTGACTAAGGTTTTTCTACCTGTGGTGGCACTTGAGACGCGTCGAAAGTTAGTTGGGGTCAGTGAAAATGGCCAAGAAGGTAGACATCAGTGTGGACTCTGCCGGAGGATTTTCCATGACATAGATAGTCTCATATTTCATCATGCTACACACAAGAAAGAAAAAATTAGGGGCTGTCGTCATTGCAAACGACTTCTCATTAGCAAAACCTGTATGCAGATCCACCATCTATGTGAACCGGAGCCTACAGGGATTCTGCAGGATCCATTCTCTGTAGGTGATGTAATGCCCCTCTCTTCAGGAAATGTGGCAGTTCATGGCCAAAAAGGCACCATGGAGAGCAATTCTGAGAAACAGCTGCAGAAAAGGCTTTTTTCATGTCACATGTGCCAACATAGTTACACACGCCTGTATAATCTAAAAAAGCACAAATGTCATTTGTTTTCCCATCAGCATGTGGATAACAGTCTCCCAAAGGACAAAGTCCATATGGCGAAAGGAAATGTAAGAATAGACATTGAAAATGTGGTTGGAATAGGAGAGTCGCCCATGCAAAAGAATGTTTCTGTAGGCACTGAAGCCACTAGTCTAATCAAAACGGAGATGACTGAGTCTAACTCTTCAAGAGGCCCAGAGGTTTCTCTCGGCATGCTTGCAAAGAACCCAGGAATAAACTTAGATATCTGGCCAGGCTCACCTAAAAGTTTCATGCCGTTTACTTCAAAATCAGTTAGACACAACTCAGCAGAACTGCAAGAAACAAAGTTGGAAGGCTGGGCTGCTTCCACACAGGAGTATTCAGTTTCAAAGCATATGAGACAAGTTGAAACAGAAGGCGAGGTGAAAAATATAGAGGCAGAGGAAGAGAAAAGACGCTGGACTATGCCAATTGATGAATCGGACATTGATGTTCTAGTTGAGGCAGAACACAGTAATAATAAAGAGGAGTTTGTTTTCCGGAAGCCTGGTCTAGGAGATGGTCTTCCATTCACATCCAGTCAGCTGAATCATCCAATCCAGACATCTGAAGTTGACCAAAGTCATTTGCCCAGCAGAGGAATGCTGCAACATATTCAGAACCCACTGTCAATAAAAGCCAAGTCACATCTGGAAATCAAGAAAAGGTTTGAATGTCTCGGTTGTGGGAAGAGCTTCAGCCGCAGATATGTTCTCAATCTACATAAGAAGAAATGTATTCCGATAAACAGAAGTACAGAAGATATTGACAGTCACAGTGATCAAAATACTGGAAAATCCAAGAGAATAATTTTGCCAAGTCATCATCAAGGATCATTCCAGGAACCAACAAACCAGGAAAGGATGTTGATCCTCACACCATCTTTGGGGGTTCAGGTCAATAGAACAGGTGATAATCTTTCTTCGGGAGACTCTTGGGGAATTATGTCATTACCAGCAGTTTTGCCAAGAAAAGTGACTTGTGAATGTGGATCAGTTTTCACTAGCTCTCGTCAGCTGTTTGAGCACCTTCAGATGCATGCCCAAGAGTCTTACATTTGTCCTACATGCGGGAAGAACCTCCACTCTTGGATGAGTTATGAGGCCCACCTCCACACACACAAACGCTCAGTTTGTCCAAAGTGTCAGCAGTCTTTCAGCCAGCACAGCTCATTGGTCCGGCACCTGAATAAGAATCGATGCAAGGCTGATGGTATCATGGGGAATAAATTTCTATGCCCCAGCTGTGGTGTGGAATTTCTCACTTGTTCCAGGCTTAAGCTCCACATGCACTACTGTGCATCCAAGCCTTCCAGCAAACCAGTCGTCTGTCCAGTATGCACACACAGCTTCAGTAGTAACAAGGAGCTCCAGAAACATTTAATCACCCACAGTCACACCCAGGCTTTTCGGTGCCACATCTGCCAGCGCAGCTACCCTAGCCTGAAGTCTCTTAAGAATCACAAAAGAAAGGTTCACCGATTGATGTTTACCAAGAATTCAGGAGGGGCTGTATAATAAAATAAGTTAGGAGTGGTTCATCTGGAGGTTTCAGACTACAAACAAGAAAATATCAAGTTCATTCAAGCTGTGATGAATCTGTACTTTTGACTCAGTAGTGACTTGTAAATGGTGGCTGCATACTGCCGACAGAATCAATGTTGTTTTACCAATATGATGATGCATGAGCAGTGGTTGCACAGTTCAAACGACATCCAGACAAAACAAAATCAAACATTGGTGAAAACAATATTATTACTTAAATACTTAAAATGTCAATGCCACCTGGTCTTGTTATAACCCTAGAGGGCACAGAATGTTTTTGATGCAGCAAACCCACATACAGAGTACAAATAACTGTGTTATGGCAAGTACATTAATCATTTTAATAAAGGAGATGATTTCTCTTTTAATATAGAAGTTGCTGTCTTCATTAACAAAAATTGGTCTAATACTACCAGCACAGACAGGAAAGCCAGCAACTTACACAACACACGGTTACACAGTAACTAAATGTGCATTCCACTGCAAACATTATAGGGTTTAATTTTACTTTAGATGATTTATGTATATGGTTCTGCAAAGCATGCTGGAAACTGCATAATTAAAACTGTTGTCTAACCCTGCGCTCCCACATTATGTCAGCCGATCGTGGACAGTGGGTGAGATCAGAACAAATAAAAATGTTTGCCTATTGATAAAATGACATTCATTCTGTCAATTTAATTTGAAGTTTGTGGCCACCTTAATGCTGTGAAGCTAGCATGTAGTTGTGAACCTATACCATTCTTTAACATTTTTCAGTGAAATTGAAATTGCATGTCTTGACTTAACTAGTTCAGCAATCACATTTTACATCGTAATGATGAATTTAAAATATATAGGTGCTTTTTTTGTACTCATGGAAATTGTACAGTTTCAGGAATACTGATATGTGAAAATTCTGAAATTCATTAATTACTAGTGCTTCATTTATATTCATTCCAGTTAATCCATAAATAGTGCCACTGCTTAACTAGGATTTAGGGTTTAAATCTAGATGCAAATTCTGTAAATTCATATAGTTATGTGATATTTGTCTCATGTTTGTATAGCTTTAGCCTAGGTGTTTGCTACCATACATTTAATTTTTCAGTTTTTTTGTTGTCTTCAGCCATAAATGAAAAAGTACATCTCATATTACTTGGCATCTCTATAGGAGATTAATAAACATTGTGCTTTTATTTCTTTTTTGAGCTGGATTTTAAATGTTCATTGGGTAATTTCAGTGTAATTTTCTTTGTCATTGTGATTTTGCCTCTCTTGTTGCAAATTAAACGTAATCAACCATCCTTTAAGTACATTGTGTTACATATTTCACAGTAGTAAGTATCCTAAAATATGGAAGAATGTAACACAACCGTTGGAGCACTATCGTTAGTAATTGGGCAGCAGAAATTGAAAGTTTTAAAAGAACCATTATGCTAGACAACCTCCCATGGAAAACAGGAAAATATGTGTTAGTGGTTTGTGTTTGATTAAAATGTAAAATCCCCAGTGTATCAGGAAGACCAACAGGTTAATGACTAAAGTTGTATCAAGTGCTGTAATTAATCATGAAATCGAGATTCAGTTTGTCCCAATTTTTGTATCAATTTATGAATTTACCATTTAACACCAGCCATAGAATTAAATGTTTTATTTTTACATTTTTTCAACGTGTTGATAAACACAATTTTAATGCAGCCTATGCTAAGTGCACTGCAATGAAAAAGTCTACTAAATCACTGAAGTGTCTACTACTGTTTTGAAGGTATAAATTAAATGTTCATTCTATATGTTTTTTTTTCCCCCATATTTGCTGTTTTAAGAATAGTAATGTGTGCTTACAAAGAAATGCATAGTTTTTGCAACTGGGAGATGAAGTGTTCAACAGCCTTAAACTAAATTTGGGTTTTATATTTCAGTAGTTCCGTTATTTGAGTGTTACATATCAGGGTATAATGGTAATATTGTGATGCACTGAATGGTGACACTGGTATCATGATGAGTATTGTATCATGGGCTATTTGGCAATACCCAACCATATTGATGACCTATACAAGAATTTGTAGCATCAAGTTGACTGCATTGGTGAAATATTTCACATGCATTCTTAATGCATTGCTCATCAGAATAATGATATGAGAATCTTAATCAAAAGCTAAAGTTATCTACCGAATTTTTTTCTGCCCCACTCCCATTGTTCACTTCCTTATAATGGCATACCTCTATTTTCTGACTTTTTAACAGCACCATATACAGTACCTACCTTAACTATAATAGGTAATTCTCATGAAAGTTCAGTTTAATTGCTTTGAAATACATGAATCAAGGTATAATACACAAGGATATGGTGTGTAGCATTCCCCTCCAGAAAGACTTAATTGGTGGTTATTTAAAAGAAATTACAAGAAAACGAAACCAACGTAAGAGCTTGTCCCTTTAGCGGAGGGTGCTTAAATCATTTACATGAACTTAAACTGCCAAAAGAAAAACACGTTCTCTGCTTAGCTTAGCTTGCATGTTGTACGATGGCGATATTCCGATAACTGGAATTTCGGAAGTCCCTCACAAGACAAAAGTTCCCACCACCCACATGGGAAGCAAAAAATACATAAGCCTTAATGTATACAAAATATACATAGAACACAAATGTATATAAATATACACAATACACAAATCTATACACAGTGGTACCTTTGAACTTGAACTTAATCCATTCAGAACTCGGGTTCGAGTCCTTAAAAGTTCGAGTCCTGATCGAATTTGCCCCATAAGAAATAATGGAAAGCCAATTAATTGGTTTCTGGCCCCAAAAAATTACACCTAAATATGGTTTTTATTTAGCATTTAAACACAATATGAACAGGATAAAACAAGAAGAGCATATACTAAGCCACAGGTATCAGGAGCCCTGCACATTTTTGGGTTTCCGCTCGTTTAACACACCTGATTCAACTTCTTGAATCACCCCTGTACTAAGCACATTTATCAAAACAGTAATTTGTAAAGTAAGAAAACAAATGCTGTGCGTAACATTTTTTACCGTTAGTTCCCCCTGAGAGACATTTCCCCGCGTTCTTAGGTCGGCGTTCACGGTTCGACTTCTGAGATTCAGATCGAGTTCTTGGTATTTTTTTTTTCGAACTTGTTGATTTGACTTTTAAGAAATTCGAGTTCTAATGAGTTTGAGTACTGAGGTACCACTGTAATCTGTAATATCAGTTTGCTTCATTTTAAACCTTGGGGTTATTTACATAGTTCATATAAAAAGTGTACGTACACCCCTGTTAAAATGATGCAAAAAAAGTGAGACCACAATAAATAATTTCAAAACAGCTCTCACCTTTATTGTGACCTATGACATGTCTGTGTAGGTTCTCAGCTGTCCAGGACATGGTAATCTTAAGGGTTTGAATCAAACATCATTTCACCTCTCATCCGAAAGGCTTCTTCAGTTCAGAACTTGTGTCTATACTGTGGGGTGTGTGTATGTGTTGTTGATTGTGTCAACACTTCAGTGACTTCAGTAACATCAAATAATGAATTACATTTTTCTGATTAATTAATGATAGACACAAAGAACAAATAAAATTAAAAAATGAAGTTGTTCTCGATCACACCTTTATTTAAAAAAAAAAACAGAACAGCACCTTTCTGTTGAAGGCATTACTACATCACTATGACTAGTAAGCAAGCCGTGAGTCTCAAATTGCATACTTCAGTACTTAAACATTCTATTTTGAGTGTGTGTTCATTTATGCACTCAAGTTCAAGTACTTGCATTGATACTCACAGTGGAGTCTATCCAAACCAGAAGCCCTGGATGACAAGATGTTCAGCGACTGCTAAAGGAGAGGAACACTGCCTTCAAGTTAGGAGATAGGGCCCTCTACAGTGTGGCACGAACTAATCTGAGGAGAGGCATCATAATGGCTAAGAGGTATTACAGGAGGAGGATTGAGGAGCACCTGGACAGTAATAACTATAATTAGGCAGGGAGTCCATCAGATAAACTACAGGACCAGTCATGGAGCTGCTGAAGGTGATGCCTCAATAGCAGAGGAGCTGAACCACTTCTTTGCACGGTTTGAGGTGGAATTACCAGAGGCAGCTGTTACATATACATCTGCAGCCCACAACATGAGGTAAGATGCTCGCTCCAGGCTGTCCCAGGAAGGCAGCAGGTTTTGATGGCATTCCTGGACATGTGCTGAGGAACATCAAGCACAGGTCATCAAGTATGATCTGATCCTCAAAAATCAAAGCAAAACACCGTACATTTGCGTCTGTCTCCATGGTGGCAACATCATCCTCAATGACAGTTAAAATCCCTATCTGGACTCTGAGTAGTGCCGCCATTCACATCCACAGTATCCTGCAGGGCAATAACACATCAAACAAATACCACTTAGGATAAAAGAAACTTGGCAAGTTCCAACAGTCAACATGTTCAGGGATGTCCTCCCACCACAATGCTGGAACCAATTTGAGTACAAAGTTTAAAAAAAAGTCTCTATGATCATTACAGTTAAGAAAGTGAGTGATTATTTGTCATTGTGAATACAGCACAGCACAGCACAATGCGCACCACAACGAAATGTGAGCTCTGCATTTGACCCATCCGTGAATAAGCAGTTTATCAATAACCAAAGGGGTTGGCTTACTGAAACCACAATACCGCCTATATTTTAACTTCATAACTATTCAAGTACAACTGTGTTACATATCAGGCAAGATTTGAAGAAGGTATCTGTGTTCTCCCTGAACAACAATGGTCGGCCTTGCAGGGCTGCTGTTTTCCTGTGCAACATCACATTGGTTGTCTGGAACATGCAGCAAAGCAGTGAACAAATATCTTCAGGAATGGAACATTCAGATTTAGTCTTACGCATGTGTGATTTTGTATTTGTAAGTGAGGTAATGTTAGGGCTGTACACAAAATATTGAGTATACATTCAGGATACATTTCACTGCATGCTGTACTTGTATAGCCATGCATGTGACAAATAAAGCATCTTGAATTGAGAGTTTTTTCCTCAGGAGAGCAAATTCAAGTGTGTAACACTAATAATTAGCAAGAAATAAAGCAAAGTAGCATTTAGAAACATTGTCAAAATAGAGACCCAATGTTAGATATTTACCTTGTTATCCATTTTGTCCAGAAGAATCTTCAGTTCCTCTCCAAATGATCTATTTTGAAATCTGTACAGTTTAATGATCTTTGGTGCATACTCATCCAGTGAAGAGAAGAATGTCTGCTTGAGAGGAACTCCAGTGAGTATATAAAACTGTTGACCTATTACAGAGCACATACAGTATTTGGGCACATTCAAATCATATGAAGGTAAAATGCTTCAAAATGAACGTATGCCAAACCTTTTCAAATCTATGCACTTACTTGCTCTTCCATAAATAACGCCAGCCACTGTATCATAATGTCAGCCACTAGGGGTGCTTCCTCCACGATCTCTTTCCTTCGTAAGGCAAAAGTCAGTTCCATTTTAGAATGAATGAGTGCAAGGTTGTTATGTCTCTTTCATTTCTTCCTGCAAAAAAGCTTTTTCATTTTGCAGAGTTACATCAGTCTGCCCAGCTGGAATGTCAGGGAGGACGTTCACTTCACACCTTCTTCAAACGATTCTTGCAGTCTCCCCCAGTTCTTTTCCGATTAACACAAACTTCACTGCAACGTGCTGCTCCTAGTTTGTGGCGGTAATTTCCAACTTTATAGTAGATGTGTCAAGGTTCCAGGCGGCTCGGGCACGGGAGCGAGGCATCAGGCACAAAAAGGGGTGGACGACCCACTAGCGGCTCCAGGAACAGAAGGGGGTTATTAAAAAAAAAAAAACAGAAAACACTAGAAACGCAACAAAACCAAAAGGAAGAAGAA